AATACGATAGGGAAAATTTATAAGATTCTTGTTAATTTCTGTACACTTCTATACGAATTTGTATATAAACTCTTAGACTCAGCTGAGAACAGCAAACATATATTCCAAAATTGTCCACATGAATGACAAAATTGTTATACGCTCAATTTCCTCGAGCTCAGGTTTTAAAATCAACACTACCAGAAAAGATATGCACATGGTCAATTACATGTGTTGGTAGCCATACGAGAATTCTGAGCAAATTTCGGGAAAATTCTTGTTGATTTCTGTACACTCCTATCGATTTCGTATATAAACTCCAATACTCAGTGAGGAAACTCCTAGACTCAGTTGAGAACCGCAAACATATATTTCAAAATTGTCCACATGAATGACAAAATTATTATACGTTCAATCAGTTTCCAAAACCAACCACACAAAGGCGAGCCCACTTAGGTGCTGATGGAAGAGGCCGCATGCCAAGTTGCTCGCGAGCTGCTAAAATATCCTCATATTGTCGGCGGAGCGATGCAAGACGCTCCTCGTGGAGCTTCGTCAGGCTGTTGTAAACTGGTAGGAAAAAGCAGTCATACCACACCTCTCCCAAATCGATATAAAGTAAATTAACACTTTTCAAAAAATAGCAGAACGAAAATGAAAGCCGCATTGATCCTCCCAGTGAGGAGGACCATTTGCACATGGTCAACTGCATGTGTTGGTGACAATATGAAAATTCTGAGAGGAAATTTCGGAAAATTCTTATCAATTCCTGAGCTCAGCTGAGGGAGGCGAACATATATTCCCCCAAATGCTTTACTCGGCAACAGAGCCGCCTCCTGACGACGGAGCGGAACACCTTTGGCAAATACATGCTCATCCAAGGGCACCTCTTCCTCGAGCTCCAATGATAAGGACTGAGATAAGATACTTCGAGGTCGGTGATAAAAGATACACATCTAGCCCAATTGCGAACCATAGAGGCGAACCACTCAACTAGCCGTCTACGAAGCACGACCTTTGCATTCCTTATTTTCACATACACCTGAAATCCAATTTTGGTCCTACTTCATCGGAATTATCAATTTCAATTTGACCTTTCCAAATCAACATAATAAATCGGCATCATCAAACGCATCTCAAGTCCCTCCCACAGTGTGGGAATATACACGCTTGGTTTTCCTCAACGGTGTTAGGAGTTTCCTCACTTATAGAATTTCATATACGGATCCGAGTGGGAAGTGGAAGAAAATCAGTTGAATATTTCCCAAAATTTCCTCATAATTTTGGCACCAACATATATGGTTGGCAATGTGCATATTTCACCACACTGCTCTCCCAGTACACTTTTCCAGGGCATCCTATGTCCGCTCTATTACCGTTATTTCCTTGCGCATATCTTCAACACTCCTCTCGAGAGCATCAAGGCACTCCTTCTCCTTCTTAACAACATTGCCGTAGACCTCTCTGAAGTACTCTCCAAGAGTCGACATCCTCTTGTTCCGCTAAGGAAGACGATTTGGCCGATTTACGGTATTAATTATTGTCTAATACTTGCTACCACCATTGTGCTGCGATTTCACTCTCACTTGTTTACGTGAAATCTCATGCACAGAGGAGCAGACAACAACCCCACTAGAAGTAGTTATTCTAATCACTACTACTACTACTACTACTACCACTACTACTACTACTACCACTACTACTACTACTACTACTACTACTACTACTACTACTACTACTACTACTACTACTACCACTACTACTACTACTACTACTACTACTACTACTACTACTACTACTACTACTACTACTACCACTACTACTACTACTACTACTACTACTACTACTACTACTACTACTACTACTACTACCACTACTACTACTACTACTACTACTACTACTACTACTACTACCACTACTACTACTACTACTACTACCACTACTACTACTACTACTACTACTACTACTACTACTACTACTACTACCACTTCTACTACTACTACTACTACTACTACTACTACTACTACTACCTCCTCATCACTGAGACCAATGGTGCTCCAAACGCCTTCAATCTGCCTCTTGAACTCCTTTTGTAGTGTATCCATACCCAGCCAGGCCTCAGCAGTAGGAGGAAGTGTGTGAGATTTAGCTGGCCATGGTAGAGTAGTGGACCCGGCACATACGCTCATGTACCACAGCTGAAGGAATCCCGCAACAATGAAAATTAAGAGCAAAGTCGTCGAACTTTCTCTATAAAAAATTTACCGACAACTTCGGTGATACACAAAATCGGACAGCAATCAACCCTATGTCGTCAGAAAAGGAAGTCTATTTTCTAATACTGCCCTCATACCAACCAATGGAAGGACTAAGCCAAGGAATAACCCTCTAGTAACACAAACGCTATGCAGATGAGAAAACTTTGGGACTTTCGCATTTGTAGTTATCACGCATCTCGAGTTCCAACAAGTGATAGCTCACGTCCACTAGCAGAAGCCTGAAGAGAAGAAGTCGAAGTACGATAGGACTAAATCCATACATACCCAGTTTTTGAGTTTCTCCACGAGTTGATCTGCAGTGACAGCATCACTGTGATGGACCAGTACTTGCTTCTTGTCAATATCACATTCAATGCTTTCAACGCCGTTCGTCTTGGAGAGGATGCGAGTGATAGCTCCAGAGCAACCGGAACCTGCTCACAATGGGCCTGTTCTGTATCATACCATAGTGCAACCTAAGATACTTACACGTCATTCCTGCACGGATT